CCCCAAAACCCCAAAACCCCAAAACCCCATGATGACTTATTATGCTAATTTATGAAATAAAAATTAATTTCCTTTATAATTATTATTTCTCATTATCACATTTCATCCTTCTTAGGCCTATAGATATTGTAGCAATTAGGGATGAGCTTCTTCTTTATTCTTTCACTTGGTAGAAATACTTCAAACTGCTTTTAATTCTGATTATACCCTGAGGTATCTTCATCCTTGGCATCCTGTTCTTCATTTCTGATTAGTTTGCTTTTGTTGTTCTTTTCCTTCTTCTAAGGTTTTAAGTCATCTTAAACTTGATTCATAGATTACTACTTCTCTAACTCAAGCGCTCTTAACTTGTACTCATCATTCACCTCTAGATCAAAGTTAATATGCATGAATATGAATAGATTTAGAAATTATAATGATGATTGAGACTAACTTACTCTTCCATCTGTTAAAATACTTCTTTAAACTAAAGGCTAGGACTTCACTCTAGAATTTACCAATATGCGTCTTCAACTAGATCATCCATCTTTCTCTTTTTTAAATCATGTCAAGAGAAGGCATTAAATCCTAATTTTCGTTAATTTCTTTAAGTTTGTGGTTAATCGAGTCTTTGAGTTTAGATATATTCTTCGCATCTTTGTTTCTGATTCTTTATTAAACATTCTCGATATCTTTTACTATTATCTTATTATTTATATCATTCTAATCCTTTGTCTCTTTCTCTATCTCCTCCAATTTATTGATATTTTTCTTGATCTCATCTTTTAAACTCTCTAACTTCTTCTGGTTCTTATCCTTAGAAGTTTTGATAATATTTATAGTCTCAGTTTATGATGCCATTTTGGACAAATGAGATCCAAGTCCTATGCCTGATGCTCCTTTCTTGTCAACTGTTGATTTTTCGAACCCTCTTTTTTTCTACTCATCCATGAGCTTTTGTAATTCCTGCTTAGACTTATCGGATCCAGACATAGCAGAGAATGAGTTCTTTTTTAAATGTTCAGTAATTTTACCAGCAATTTTCTCTCTTTTATCTGTATTTTCATTTCTGTCTCTTGATTGTGATTTCCTGGTCTCAGATTCACTTTAAGACTAATCATCATCTGCGAACCCCCTGTTTCTGCTAAATATCTTTTTGAATTTATTTTTCAGGTCTAAACTATCAAACACCATTACATCTCTAAACTATATAGTAAGCTAATCTCTCGAAATCATTATGGGGATCTTAGGGTTTTAAAAATAGATTGGTTTTTTAGGAACCTTTCTCCTTTCAAACTTTTTATAGCTGTTGAGTAATTTTCCCATCACTTTATTTTATTCGAAGTCATAGTTACTCTACTTATCATCTTCATAATGATTGACGAATCCATCCCTTGCTCCATAGCCTGTATTACCAGTTAATACAGTGGGTTATCTTTGGAACCTTGTGTCTTACGATTACATTCTATTGTACTGAGAACCAAAATGATAAGGACTGCTTTAATCCTCTTCCTCTTCTGTTTCGTAATCAGAAGAGGAAAAATCTTGCAAAAAGTCATATAAATTATCCTAATTTTCTCCTATTCTATTCATTAACTTCTTCTCTTCCTGCTTTTTTTGCTGCTTATACTTTTTCTTAAGCTTAGAATTCATATTTTTCTTTATCTTATGTTCTACTGGTCCAAGTATTTTATTTACCTCATCCTCATGCTTCGTATAGCCTTTGGTGAAATTAATAGTAACTCCACTCTTCGCAGTCTTAGCATCATAGTCCTACTCTTCTTCCTCACTAGATTCTGGGGTGAATGGAGTTCTAGTGCTTTCATAATATTTTGCACCACGAGAAGTTCCAAATTTTTAAGTCATTTTTAAGTTATTAACAAATTTACTTTCCAAACTCTGCCCAAAATATCTCTATATATCTTTTGGGGTTTTGGGGTTTTGGGGTTTTGGGG